AGAAGCAGCCTCAGCGGGTCTGGCTGGTGTAGGTCTAGCACTAAGTGGCAAGGCTGAGGCGGCACTACTGGACTGGTTCCTGATTAACAGCTGACTATGTGCAGTTCGGCTTCGGGGTTAATGTAGAATCAACAAGCTCCGCGAAGAGAGACGCAACTTGTTTGTGATCTCCGTGTACGCTCCAACTGACTGCAGTGGCGGCTCGGTTAGCTATGAATTCTAACAATATCTACATCAGCTCTTGACTAATGCTAAAAAGTCGGATGTCGTTATTCTTGCTGGGGATTTTAATGCACGGGTTGACCGCCTGTTACCATACGAACGCCACCTTGGTGGTCATCACTCGCTCGATGAGAACCGCTCTGATAACGGAGAGAGACTTCTCACATTGTGCGAAGACAACCGTCTGTTTCATTCGAGCACTAACTTCAGGCGTACGAAGAAGCGTTCCGCAAGGTGGCATCCCACTGCACCAACACAAGCGTGGTCTCAAATTGATCACATTGTAATTAGCTTCAGATGGCGTGGCAGCGTACTGGACTGCAGGTCCTTTTGGTCCACCTTGGTTGACTCAGATCATGCACTGGTCTGCGCGAAAACTGTATGTGTTCGGGGGGTCCGAAACACGAAGTACGCAAGATTGATGAAAACATATTAACTGATTCCTCTGTCCAGGCGAGCTATCAGTCTTCAATAGCATCCGCACTCAGTTGCAATTCACCGCAAGACGTGGAGCAACACTGGACTTGTATACAGGAAGCGATGACATTTCCGGACAGTCATGCTGCGGCCTAGTTAAACGCTCCTTAAATGCTTGGATTTCTGCTCGTTCACTGTAGCAAAGATATCCCAGCGGAATCAGATTGCAACGTGAGGCGCCGTTCTGCCAACCGGCTGCTCAAGCAAAACCTACGCAATGATCGCGAGACCTGGTGGTCTGAGCGTGCTTTAAAGATGACGACCGCTGCCCTCTCTTGGAACACTCGCAGGCTTTTCCAACTCATTCGGTCCACTGGCCTCAAGAAGCCTGGTGTCAGTGAGGTCATATGCGAGGTGGATGAATCTCCGATCACCAACCAACAGAGACGTGTGGATCGCTGGGCCGAGCACTTTCACTCGCAGTTCAACTGGCCTCCATCGTCCATCAGTACAGGCTGTACACCTAGTTGTCCACCCTGGCTCATCCCACTGAATCCACCCAACGAAGCGGAAGTCTGTCTCAAGATTTGACGTTTGAAGCGATTCAAGGCTGTCGGCTCAGACAGACTTCCTCCGAAGCTGTTCAAGTACGGCGGCGTGGCGATGATTAACGAGCTGGCCTAGCTGTTCGCAAAAATCTGGCATGAAGAGAAAGCGCCTTCCTCTTGGGGCGAATCAGTTATTGTCCCGATTTTCAAGAAAGGCGCTCGCACTTTATGTGCACATCATCGCGGGATTAGTCTTATTTCGGTTGCCTCTAAGCTATTGGCATCTATTCTTCTTCGGTTATCCCCAATACCGTGAGGAGCGAGCTGGTTTGCGTCCTGGGCGTGGATGGGTGGATCAAACCTTCACGCTTTGCCAGCTCCTCGAACATCGCCACATATATCACAAGCTCACTATCGTTGCATTCCTAGACATACGTGCCACTTTTGACTCCGTTGATCGACCTGCTTTATGGTGTTGCTTGCGAAAGAACGGGGTGCCAGAGAAATATACCGCCATGTTACGAGCACTTTACCTTCATACATCCGGCAGAGTGAGGGTCTATGGTAAGCTTTCCTCGCCATTCGCTGTCAATAGCGATGTGCGACAAAGCTATCGTATGTCCCCATTCTTCTTCAACTTCGCAATCGAAAACGTTCTGTCGAGTGCTCTAGGTTTCCGATATTTTGGCCTAGAGCTTCTACTGGGTAAGCGCGCGACCAACTTAGATTATGCTTATGATATCGCCTTACTCGTTGACGATCCTCAGAGTATGCAACATTCTGGATCGTTTGGCGGTTGAAGCATCTAAGTATGACATGAGCTTTGCCCCATCGAAGTGTAAAGTACTGCTCAAGGATTGGCTTTCACCTGCTCCCGTACTCACTCTCGAAGGTGCACAACTTGAACAGGTAGATAGTTTTGTCTACCTCGGGAGCTGTGTTTCTGCTGACGGCAAGGAAGTTTCTCTTTCCATCGCTAAAGCCCGATCAGCATTTGCCAATCTGAGGCACTTGTGGCGTCGTCGCGATGTTCCATTCTCGCTAAAGGGCCGCGTTTACAGCGCATCTGTTCGATCAGTGTCGTTGTATGGGAGCGAGTCTTGGTCGATTCGCAGGGAAGACATGCGTCGTCTTTCTGCCTACGATAACGGTTGATTAAGGAGGATTGCTCGTGTTTGGTGGCAACATAGAGTTAACAGTAATGACATTCGACGTCGCATCTTGGGGAATGCGAGTATTCCCTTCAGCAAACTGGGTTTGCTGAGCCAGTTAAGATGGCTCGGTCACGTCCTGTGCATGGCACCGTGTCGCGCCCAATTCGCTCTTCAAGGACCTGGCTGGAGGCCACCGCGTGGTGGTCAGCCTTCCATTTGGCGACAGCACATGAACTCCTTGACGTCGTGTCTAGCCACTGTTGGGCCCGTACGTCTTCCAGGACGGGGACCGAAAGATGAGGAGTGCCAATGGCTTAACACTCTTGAAGACATGGCCCGCAACCGGAATCAGTGGAAACATTGTGTACAGAATTGTATGAATTCACATGTTTAACACTTCGAACACTAAAAGTGACAAAAAAGAGAAAAATAAGCGTGGGAAAAACAAACTAAAAGTGTTTTGTTCTACAATTTGGCAAAATGATCCTTACTTCCTGCGGTCTATTAGCTGAAGTGTGTTGCGGCACAGTAGCTAAGGCGTTCTCTACCTCTAGCTGACGTGTATAATGATGATATAATGACGAAGTGTGTTGTTAACCTTCGACTACTACATCACGATGATTATGAAGTGATGACTTCCTCTTATCCGCTGATCTCCACGGTTTTATGTTGAGTCTATGGCTAGTTGCTAGACAGTTGAGACTGATTGGCGACATCCGGTTTCGGATTTGTCTGTCACTGTGGCCAGCCACAGGACGACTGCGCCTACAGAGGGACCATGGGTGCCTTGCGTCGCACCACCCACAGCTTCATACACACACACACACACACACACACACACACCACATATCCAGTGTAAACCCGAAGGAATAAGACTGAGAGGCATGCGGATGGGAGCCACGTTTCATCAACGGAGCCGGCCCACACTCCTTCACAGGCAAACACAAGCACGCTGTATTTGGGGAATCAAGCGCACACAAGGCGGTGGCTGGACCGTAGTCCGCTCCACACTGACTGCATGGAACCGCTCTTTGAGCCTAGCACGGCCACAAGAACCGTGCACCCCGTCCCCTCCAGCAACGACCAACTGTCTCCTGGAGCCAGTATGGACGAGGTAGTGGGTAATAGACAGGTAGGCACCTTGTCAACATGCACATCAAGCGCAGCCACACCGGGGATATCAAGCAACAGCCAATCACTTGAAACGACAAGCTGAAATAAAACAAATCCAATAATGCATACAGATACGGTGGCATAATTCCGCTTAATTACCATATGAAGTAAGTTGGTTAGCAAAAAATCCGCGATAAGGAAAAAATGTCCAGAAATTACTTACGAACGCAACAAAGTTACCGAAGATAAGCGCAATTAGTGTAAGCAATGATGACAGTTAATAGAAGATTATTCAGGTAGGCAGAACAAAGCAAATAAAGTGGAATGAAATTAAGCCAGCTTAAAAGGACCTAGTTTAAGTGTAAGTTGGTTTAGCCCAACTGCGGTGAAGAAGCATCGAGAATGCAACATACATACCAACGTAAACGACATTTAGGCAATATTGTCATCAGACGCCAAATCGATCGGAACGCAAGCAACGAAACGGATTGTCTAGCCAGGAAGAGAACAGCGCTTTGAGTTGACGGCAAAATGTTGCAGATCACATCACTAGATGATGGACTACTATAAGACAATCACCGTTATGAAGTAAAGTCCATTGAAACGAAATCGAAAACACAAACATTCGAACGGTGGTAGCGTTGTGGTAGTTGACTTCTTCTTCGAGTGATGCGTTTTTCGAGGCCTGTTTTATGAAAATTAAAAAAAAAACAATGCGCGTCAAAAGTGAGACAAAAATGGCGGCTAGAAGGAGGAACACGTCTGATGCATCTACGTTGGTCCGGAACAAAAGAAGACACCATCAGCAAGCCTGTACGCTGTGTACCGATGTTTGTCTGCCACGCAACTACCATTAGTTGCGCGTGGGGGCTAAGAAGGATACTCTGCGAGAGTCGCCTGATCCCCCTATGCAGGCTCGAATCTGGTAGTATCAGAGTAGTAAAGCAGACTCTTTGCCTTTTCCGCCACTGAAAGAATGTAACATCGAGTGAACTGTAATGAGGTTTTTCATACACGGAGAAAATGGAAATACTTTGAGCTTGATGCGTAAACAGTGACCATGTATACGAAAAACTGGAATGGGTGGAGACGAATTGAACAGAAATGGCCTACAGATGTTAAGTGAGCCACTGACTAGATAAGGAACAGCACACTCTAGGTAAATGTGTCGTGCAAATAACAATCTTGTCAATGAAACCGAAGAAACCCATCTCAGGTTCCGCAACTATTTGAGTGATGGACGGAATCCGCTCAACTCTCCCTAGATTGGACAAATGGGCAAGAAAGCTAGAAAAGGAATAACCGTCACTGACTGAAATGTGCATAAACGTAAGCAGAGTAAACAGCGGAGTAGGGTCCCGAAACTATCTCAAGATAGAATGAAAGTGGTACCTGCATTAGTGGGGAAATGTTTGACACCAAGTTCAGACAACAAAATTAACCAGAGATACCATCAGGTAACATCAGTTGCATTAGCAACTGTTGAGGAAATGTTAAAAGCGGCCTGGTTCACCTCGTCGAACAAACACAAATAAATGGGGCTTACCAGTAGAAGCTTGTAGTTCTCCCCATCGATCGTGACTTCTTGACAGCTGCCGGTGTTAGTGGGGCTCTAGACACATTGGATGCAAAAAAATAACCAGGGTTTGGGCAACCGAGTTGAAACAGACAAAGCTCGTGAACCACGCAAAGTCGATCAGAAAGTGGAGTCAGAGGGAGAGCAAGCCATCTAGAGAAAGGGATGATATGAGGCCCAGCTTTGCATCACAAGCACTACTCGCCAGTGTTTGCATGAGGACGTGATACTTCCTGAACAGAGCAGACTCGTTAAGCCACTTGTCCGTGAGTATAGACCCAGTGGCCCAGGTTTGAATATGTTTTGTATACGTTCCCCAAAGTATCGCATATTATGGAATGTAAGCCGATGAGTTTTGGAGAATATTTCATTTCTGTAGTGGGGAGTAGGTTATGCGTAAGTTGAAAAAAAGTCGTGCAAAATCCACCTAGAAATTCACTGCACACCTATGCCCATATGTCCCCTTAACACCACCCGCTAGTGACGGTCGGTATTTCAGACGGGGATGTAAAGTAGTTCAGTTTTCGCAGTGTCCACGCAGCACTGCGGGTAGGGTACCTATAACTATACACGTTACTTTTGTGGCGGAAATTCTCGGTATATGGAACATTTGACATTTGCGACGGATGACAGTAGCAGAAAGATATGGAAATATATCGAAGTAAAGACCACCACACTCGATAACATGGGGAAAAACATGACAGAAAAGCACTTACCGGTAGATTTTTTGGGGGTCGGCTAATATAGGAACTTACGACTGAGGACAAATTGATATTGTAAATTCATATTGTTGGTCTATTCATGGATGGGCTTATATTCGGTAATATACGGTAATTTACGCACATCAGATCGAAAACAAGCCAAACTATAGAGAGGGGCTTCCCGTTTGGTCTTGAGATCGTGTCATTAGGTGCCGTGAGTCGATGGTGATGGAGCCCGTGTGTACGCGGCCCCATAAAACAATATGTATGTTTACAGAAACAGAAGATTAAATAACGTACGAGATGCAAAATAGTTGTTGTGAACCAAGATCATAATTTGTGAGAAAAAAGTGGTGAGAAAAAAAGTGGTAATCAAAATACCTCACTCACTTTATGGTTCTCCAATCGTGGGGGAACATTAAGTGAAAGCCGTCGCGAGCTGCGACGAGCCAGGGAACTGCGAGCATCGTCGGCAGGTGACGATTTGTGGGAAGCATGTTCTGTCAATACCGACGGAAGTGATACTCGGGAATCACGAGAGGGGCAGGAGCAACAACGGATGCGGACCTTCTGCAGGCCAAGTATGATGTACGGAGATTGAGAGTCTGTGCTGGAGAAAAGAGGCAGGGACGTCGGAATCCGTGAAAGTCATTCACGTACTCCGATATGTAGTCACGAAAATATCCACAGAGTAGAAAACAAAGGAGTGCAACCGCCCACGAAGTTAGAAAACCCAATTCCAAGGATTTGCTCGAAACTAGCCAATGAAAGGCCATGGCAAAGATGGCTTCATTCGCAGAGGCGAATGCAAGGTTCCCAAACTCAGACGTGACGGCGTCCCTCTAGTTTGGTGGATCTTAACGTTTTCGGGGCTGTTACCCAAAAACGGGTTCAATATAAACAACTACCCGTCAAACGATTTAGTTTTAAGTTAATTAACTATTGCATTGTTACTTTAAATTACGAAACATGGATGCTAGTTTGATTACTTTTATCATTTAAATAAAGAAAACGCCTATGTTGAGCGAAATTTAAAAAAATCAGCAGTGTTCCAGGACTTGGTGGGTTACGGCCTGGCAAGCGCTCTCCCTTTAAAAAGCCACAAATGTATGCTTAACAACGCTGTGACGTGGCGGATATGACTCGCCACTAAAGAAAGTCACTGCCTCCTACCTTACCGGAGGACCTTACCTATTTCGCGAACGTCAACTAGTTGAAGGATTTCATCTGGTCCCTTCCCGTATTGGCGAATAGACCGAACAAACTCACAAATTCACAGTAATAGTAACAAACTCACTCAACACGATGACTTACACATGCACACACAAACATGCTAAACGTATATATGGTTGGCGGCATGCGTTCGGATTGCCTGTCACTGGGCAGCCACAGACGCCTGCGCCTACAGGGACCATAGATGGCTTGCGCTGCACACCACAGCTCCCCCCACCAGAACGAGCATGTGGATGGAACCACGTTCATCAACGGAGCGCCACACTCCTTCACAGGCAAACACAAGCACACTGTATTGGGAATCAAGCGCCACAAGGCGGTGCTGGACCGTAGTCCGTCCACATGACTGCATGGAACCACTCTTGATCCTACAGGCCACAAGATCCGTGCACCCGTCCCTTCTAGCAACGACACTGTCTCCTGGAGCCAGTATGACGAGAGTGGTAATAGACAGGTAGGCACCTTGTCAACATGCACATCAGCGCATCCACACCGGGGATATCAAACAACAGCCAAACACTTGAGAGAGAGAGAGAAAGAAAAAGAGAAAAACTCGATTAATGCATAAGGAAACGGTGATATAAACCTTAATTAAATAGCATATGTAATAGGTTGTTTACAAGCAAATCCTAGCTAAGTGCACGAGGTCTGGAAGCATAGTTCACGGAATGCCAAGAACATAAAAATGTTATGGAAATCGAGTAGAATTGGCTTAGGCGATGTGTGCAACATAATGGAATAGAGTACAGGGAGATATTTATATGATAAAGAAAAGCATTAAGGTAAAAACGTTAAACCCACCACCTGAAATAAAGAGACTTAGCATGCAAGCACGCGGTTAGTAAATCGAATTCAGCGTGCTTACAAACGCTGCGCCGGTTCGCCGTAATTCTCTGCAGGACCCGTCGTCGCTTCTGTAGTGGCCCCAAAGGGCCTAGCTCAAGGCCCACTAGACATTTATATGAGAAAGAAAGGCATTAGAACACGCATATATCCAGTATGTACTGGTTAAACTGTAACATTTTTACATTATTATAATCATGCCTTTAAAGACGTGTCGCGCACTGTCGAGAATAAATCGTATATGTATTTATTTATTAATGTAGGTCAATGATACTGTTGATATTGTTCCATCAATTTCTGCTATATTTTGTGCGGCTTCGGCTAATGCACATCGTCGGTTCCTTGCTTTGTTGTGTGGCTTCGTAGTTGCTTCAACCGTCCCTTCCAAGTCATTCCTGCATGACAGCTTCCACCACCACCACCACTCTGTATCGATACGTTGTGAACACTAATCGCCCGTTTTGACCCTACCAACTGGTCGTTTGACCAATGCTCCAATACTGGTTTGCAATCGACTCCATAACTAGACCTGGCAAACGACTGCTTGACTCAAAAGAACAACGATAGACGCAGGAGTCGATAGAGGCGTCATCCAGTCGCAGTGACTAATGGCTAGTCACTGATGCCTAATCAATAGTGAATAGGTAATTAGCGACATGTTTTGATACAAATGCTTTTGTTATTAAGCTTGCCTTGCGACTGATTGATGACCCAATCCTCGTACTAATATTTGTCCCCCGTAAAATGTCAGGTTACCCTGTTAGGGGTAATTACCCCAGATTAAGAATTCCTGCTCTAGTCGATAGATAGCAAGTAGCTTCGACTGGATTAGTGTTGCATTGGAAAAATTCTGTTTGCCTAATGACAGCTTATTTATGTTGACCGGTAGTGGCATAAGATGTACGTCTTGTAATTCGATGACTGGAACCTGCGTACGCGTGGACGACGTGGTAGAATCCCTGGCCTGCGTGCGACTGGTGGTGTCGCTGTGTGGAGACGGAGAGTCAGTGCAATGTACCGGCGTACTGTTGACGTCTTCTTTAATCCTCCATGCTAATATTACGGTGAAGGGTCACAAAAGAGTGAACATGGAACGGTGTGCAGGTGACCTTCTCACTCCCGTCATAGGTAGTGCAACAGTCGTTTGCGCGCTACACAACTGTGTGGTAGTGAAGCATAGAACATTCGTGCAATTGAGACACACGGGTGGATGAAAGAGGTATGCAATGTGCGATCAAAAGAATTAAAATACTAAAGTGGTTGAGAAATATGGTGTAGAGAGTCATCGATTCCGGATATGCCTGCTGCTACGAACAGTTAGAGTGCACCTGTGTCCAGAGAGGAGCCCCGGACGACTAAAGTACAAATGGATCATGGGCGCAGGAGGAACGATTTCTTCGGAAACTACAGACCGCACATGTGCCGATGATCATAGCTACTTCATTAGTTCAGTTCAGTTGAACAACTATGATCCAGACAACGAAGTGTGATTGATCCAGTTGTCAAGATTCGCGTCGCTCGAATAATAATAAAGAGCAAAGGCAAGAATACGGTTGCACGCAAATAAAATAGAATGGAATTAAGTAGAGTGTTAAAAAATCGGGATGAAATGAAAATTAACAGCTAGGTGCCAGAAACAAAAGATAGGAATGCCATTGACTGCCCCACTGCGCCGTGTCTGATAGAGTCTTCGTCCACGAATGTGGATCATCCCGAGGCCCCATCAACGAAAACGGCAAGTACCAACCTGACCTAGTCTCCCAGTCAATTTCTCCATGTCACTATGCCACGTCATGGACTGATCACCTCACAGTTTCGTCCAACTTCGTGCAGCCATTCTGTATAATGCCCTCCGAGGAAGCCGGTCAACGGGCATACAGGAGACAAGGCCCAACCAATGTAATGTATTAAAATTCAGCAAATAGAGTGAGGTGACAGGTTTCTTGCCAAAAACCAACCAGAGAACGTGAGCGTAACTCACATGGTGTTCCTACCAGAGGTGGGCAATACTCCGCAAGCACCTGTGACTAAACACGGCAAAGTGCTTAATGCCTTCGCCACGAACTTGCAGTAATGCGGGTCTTATCGCAGCTCTATACACCCTACCTTTCACAGAACACAGATATCCACCAATGTGATGTGGCTATCTAGAATGGTTAACTAATGAACCAGCGTGCTCTGTAGCACGCGAAACGCAATGTTATTGTTGATCAAATGGACAAAGTGAACCTTGGCTTACTAGAGCCAACCCTCTCGTCTGGTCTACTGACACGCGCGAGTAGTGCATTAAGGGATCGCCACAGACAAGGAGAATTTGAATGTAAAAGTCGGTCGCTCATCATGAAACGAGGATCGTTTTGACGCGGGACGGGACGGGGTGTGACGCGAAGAGATGATACTCCAAAGCGCACAGTTTGGCAGCAGTGGAAGCTAATGTTCTACCGGCCCATTTCTGGACTATTCAGTTCTTCCGCAGTCCGACAACTCTATCCCATTGGCTCACCGCGAGGCACTCGTCTTGCAAGCAGCTAGATAACAAAATACAAACGCAGCGGAGACTGGTTATCGATGAATCGTCGTTCAACACGAACATACTCTTTCATTAACACCCGATACGATTTGGTTGTACCGAGCTCGGCCTACGTGCCACTGATATTGAAGGCTTATTTTGTTCATCTTTATGGCGGGGAGCTTTGTATCACCGCGTAAGATGGTTTCGAGTTTTTGCATACAATATTACTATTGATCAAATGCGCAAAATTTACGCCTGTGCTACTGCTCCCTACCCTAAGTCAGTTTTTACTTGCATCCGGCTCGACACTTTTCTGTTCGGTGAGTTGCGGTGTCGAAGATCGTTCCTTTCGCTGCCGATGTTTAGGTAACACTGTAGCTCCACCGTATTCGACGTGTCTCACCTTTTGGTGTTGGAACTCAATCGTGCGATAATAGAAAAGCATCAGCAATACGCCAGAACACCGTGCTGACGCCTCGCTGCTAAGCGATCATCAACAGTCGCACAAGGCTGGCTTGCTGAACAACTTCTTCGTGGTGCCAGATGGGCGGTTCGGGTTTGTGCGCTTCCAGCAAATAGTTCGGTGGCAGTGCTCCAGGACGTGGTGGACTTTTGCCTGACAAGTGTTCTCCCTATAAAAACCCTATATGTCCATTTGCCAGCACTGCGACGTGCGGATGTCACTTGCCACGAAATAAAGTCACTGTCCCTTGCTTCCACAGAGCGGAGCGTTGTAATCCAATATCACAAAGCTGAAATTATGTGGAGAATTAGGCCCTTGTTTGTCAACCGACCAAACGAAAGGCGTATGAACTGAGCAATCAGTCACCAGCTCCCAATGGCCACTGTTCCTTAAAATCGCCCCGCTGCTTTGCGGACAGGCTATTCAGCCAAAGGCACGGGGTGGTGTCCTCTAAGTCAACACCCTACCTCGGCGTGGGAAACCAGGTAGTATCTTACCCTCTGACGAAAACATGCATTTCCCTGTACTTTGTTCGGTTTCCTTTTATGACAACTGTACCTTCATTTGAAAGTGATGGGTTTTGATGGTTCTATGTGCATTTGCAGACTTGCGCGATATATATATATGGTTGGCGGCATCCGGTTTCGAATTTGCCTGTCAGTGTGGCAAGCCACAGGACGCCTGCGCCTACAGAGGGACCATAGATGGCTTGCGCTGCACCACCCACAGCTCCATACACACACCCCATATCCAGTGTAAACCCGAAGGAATAAGACCGGGAGGCATGTGGATGGGAACCACGTTTCATCAACGGAGCCGGCCCACACTCCTTCACAGGCAAACACAAGCACACTGTATTTGGGGAATCAAGCGCACACAAGGCGGTGCCTGGACCGTAGTCCGCTCCACACTGAGTGCATGGAACCACTCTTTGAGCCTAGCACGGCCACAAGAACCGTGCACCCCGTCCCCTCCAGCAACGACAAACTGTCTCCTGGAGCCAGTATGAACGATGTAGTGGGTAATAGACAGGTAGGCACCTTGTCAACATACACATCAAGCGCAACCATACCAGGGATATCAAGCAACAGCCATTCACTTTAAACGACAAGCTGAAATAAAATAAATCCAATAATGCATACAGATACGGTGGCATAACTCTTCGCTGAATTACCATATGAAGTAATTTGGTTAGCAACAAATCCGTGATAAGTAAGAAATGTCCACAAGTTACTTAAAATGCTACAAACGCAACAAAATTACCGAAGATAAGCGCAATTGGTGTAAGCGACGTGGCCAGTTAATAGAACATTATTCAGGGAGGCAGAACAAACCAAATAAAGCGGAATGAAATTTATCCAGCTTAAAAAGACCTAGTTTAAGTGTAAGTTGGTTTAGCCCAACTGCGGTGAAGGAGCATCAAGAATGCAACATCAGCCTCAGCATGGGGCACACATACATACATGGTTGGCGGCATCCGGTTTCGGATTTGCCTGTCACTGTGGCAAGCCACAGGACGCCTGCGCCTACAGAGGGACCATAGATGGCTTGCGCTGCACCACCCACAGCTCCATACACACACCCCATATCCAGTGTAAACCCGAAGGAATAAGACCGGGAGGCATGTGGATGGGAACCACGTTTCATCAACGGAGCCGGCCCACACTCCTTCACAGGCAAACACAAGCACACTGTATTTGGGGAATCAAGCGCACACAAGGCGGTGGCTGGACCGTAGTCCGCTCCACACTGACTGCATGGAACCACTCTTTGATCCTACCAAGGCCACAAGATCCGTGCACCCCGTCCCTTCTAGCAACGACCAACTGTCTCCTGGAGCCAGTATGGACGATGTAGTGGGTAATAGACAGGTAGGCACCTTGTCAACATGCACATCAAGCGCATCCACACCGGGGATATCAAACAACAGCCAAACACTTGAAAGAGAGAAAGAAAAAGAGAAAAACTCGATTAATGCATAAGGAAACGGTGATATAAACCTTAATTAAATAGCATATGTAATAAGTTGTTTACAAGCAAATCCTAGCTAAGTGCACGAGGTCTGGAAGCATAGTTCACGGAAATCGAATACAATTGGCTTAGGCGAGGTGTGCAAGTTAATGGAATAGAATACTGGTAGACATTTATATGAGAAAGAAAAGCATTAAGACACAAACTGTAAACCCACCACCATATATATATATATATATATATATATATATATATATATATATACATATATATGTATCATCGCGACGAGACTGGACCTCAACGTAGTGCGATGGTTTGTGTGCCTCAGTGATCCATTGACCTAGGATGGGTGGTGCTTTTTCCACTTTCAGTCACTCATACCAGATTGGTCAATGGTTAGAGGCCAGACAAACGCAGTCTCCTGGCCCTCCAGGTTGGGGTTAGAGTGAGGGTGGCTCCTTACTCCATAAAGCAGACTCACTGTAGTCCAGTGCCGAAACCCCGCTGCCTTGCGGTAAGGTTTTTGAACCAAAGGCTTTGGTTGAAAACCCTAATCGTTCTCCTGTCTAGGCCTGGGCAACCTGACAGTATTCTGCCCATGCAATACAATGAACCTTCCTTCTAACAATTTCTTGATGCTCTGGCCGTCGCAGAGGTTAATCAACGACGCCTATCTGCTGCATCGAGCAGAGTGGATAAGGGGTTTGGATGCCACTGCTCAGGCCTCCCCGCCTTCTAATTCCCCCGCTTACGCTTATTCATCTTTACCGTCCCGCTCCAACTTTACTTTTATCCCCTCATTTTCAATCCCCCAAATCTTGGCTCACTTCCACCTTGCTTCAATAGTCGCTTGTCTATTGGATTCAACGCACACACAGTCGCAGGGCGTCGCTCCAATCCAGTCGACAAGTCCATGTTCAACCAAGCGGACAACGTCAGTTCATCCATTTCCCTTTGAAGTCCTCGAGTCTCGCTAAGGCTGGCATGCCTCAACGTGCGCAGTTTGTTACAGATTGGCCAAAAGGCAATACTTGCCCGCACACCAGAGATCCTATCAGTTGATATTTGCTGTTTATCACACACTCGCCTGCAAGATTTAAGCTCCATGCTTACCCTGCGATCACCCACATGCGACACTGGTGGCACATTCTCATTGCACCTGTCTGGCGATGATGCAGCTTCAAATGCCGATCAAGCTGGCGTCGGCATTGTTTTGAGTCCCCGGATTGAAGCTGCTTTGATCGACTGGATCCCAGCCAACAGTCGGATGTGCGCCGTTAGATTAGCTGGTTGGTTCTATGATATGAAGTCGCGCGGGAACAAACAGTGCTTGTTTGTCATTGCAACCTACATCCCTACAAAATGTAGCACTGATTCGATGAAAGATGATTGCTATCAGCAACTTCAGGATCACCTTCGTTTCAGGGGGATAACAAACAATAACAACAAGCAAACAATAACCGGGGATAACAAAAAGTCAACATAGAATTTGAGGCGAAGTAAACACGAAAAATTGGCACGGAATATGCAGCAGAATAACGGAAGTGAACAACTCAAACCAGGTGGAATAACTTTTACCCAGACCAGCGATGTCGTCCACACCCAAACGGATTTGAACCAGTGACCATCGAATTACAAGACAATCGTGTAATCTTATTGGCCACCAGCCAACACGTCCCGGTTCGGTACTTACTAGTCCTACAGCACACAGTTCGTATTTTGAGCGTGAAATATAACATAACGGCCTGAATAGCGTGAGGTACGAGAGAAAAGTGCCCCCCCCCAGAAGAACACTGAATAAAGAAGCTGCGACTGGTGTCAAACTGAGGCAAGCTATGAAAAAGTGTATAACGTTGATGGAGGCCAAAAGCGTCATTTCCACGAGTTGGTCTGGTTGGCGGCATCCGGTTTCGAATTTGCCTGTCACTGTGGCCAGCCACAGAACGCCTGCGCCTACAGAGGGACCATGGATGCCTTGCGTTGCACCACCCATAGCTCCATACACACACCCCATATCCAGTGTATACCCGAAGGAATAAGACCGGGAGGCATGTGGATGGGAGCCACGTTTCATCAACGGAGCCGGCCCACACTCCTTCACAGGCAAACACAAGCACGCTGTATTTGGGGAATCAACCGCACACAAGGCGGTGGCTGGACCGTAGTCCGCTCCACACTGACTGCATGGAACCACTCTTTGATCCTAACAAGGCCACAAGGACCGTGCACCCTGTCCCCTCCAGCAACGACCAACTGTCTCCTGGAGCAAGTATGGACGAGGTAGTGGGTAATAGACAGGTAGGCACCTTGTCAACATGCACATCAAGCGCATCCATACCGGGGATATCAAACAACAGCCAAACACTTGAAAGAGAGAAAGAAAAAGAGAAAAACCCGATTAATGCATAAGGAAACGGTGATATAAACCTTAATTAAATAGCATATGTAATAAGTTGATTACAAACAAATCCTACCTAAGTGCACGAGGTCAGGAAGTATAGTTCACGGAATGCCACGAACGCAAAAATGTTATGGAAATCGAATACAATTGGCTTGGGCGATGTGGGCAAGTTAATGAAATACAGTACAGGGAGATATTTATATGAGAAAGAAAAGCATTAAGGTAAAAACTGTAAACCCACCACCTGAAATAAAGAGACTTAGCATGCATTGAAACAACATGGACTCACATGCCCTTATCAAAGAGTCACGTTCGCAGTCGTGTGGCGGAAAGCGTTTTCAAACGTTGCAACAAGAAATAATGGAAGAAGCCGTGGGTGGGTTATAGACGTGGAATCCTAACTAAGCGACCAGCAACAAAAAGAAACCAGGAGAACGCGCGAAGGCAACCGATATGGAAGAGTGGAATTACCTCTCTCGCCTTTCCAGTGTTAACACCAAATCCACTTCGCCGAATTGATTCAACCCGAAACAACTGTTGAAACAATTGATCCGACATTGTACAGTATATTCGACTTGAGGAAGTAAAGTGGATTGGCTCGAGTCTTGCAGCGGCTTTCGTTCGGAGCGGTGCACAAGCTCGAGCACGTTGAGGGGGAATACTACGCTGATTTGTTCAGCAGGGACATCGGAGAGGGTAGACCCCATCACGTATTCAGCACGGGGGCTAAGTACCGCAATCAAAGATCTGCCTTTCAAACCATCGGATTGTGTTGAGTGCTTGTTGCAACTGAAATGGAACGATGTGTTGAGTGTTTATCAATAGGCACCTCTCGACCGGATGAATAGATCGTTCATCATCGACAAATCGCGGAGTCACGCGAACACGAAATTCATAGGGTGTTAAACTGGGATGGAGTGAAAGTGACAAAGGCCAGCGGCGTCCCCTTTGAACAAACAACTTTGGAAATTTGTCAAGGTTAGTAACCTAGTGTCCAAAAAATACGGAGGAAGGATGAGGTGAAGTGCAAATCGCATACTCGGTAGGAACAACCGCGACTGCGAGAGCCAGAAGTGGGTGCTGGTGGAATCCACACGTGAAAGTTATGGTAACCACATGTTAGGGCACTGAAGAATGGAGTTACAAGTTGGAGGATAACTCACGATGATAGAGATGTCACACGTGTAGTGATGACCGGGGTGCATGACATAAACTAAAGAGGGCATGTGAAAGAGGGGTTTGATAGACTACCTGTTCCTTTTCTACTATGTGCTGAAAAGTTAGGCTGGGATCGACACTATCTTCTTTGAGTTCAGGAAACTGGAGTGACCGAGATTGGAAATTCCGTAACAGTGAAAGTCGATTTACCACGGAGGAAGACATAAATTTTCAGTAAAACGTGAGACAGTATCCTCGGGAGTGTGTGAACTGTAGAAAGAAACCGAGAGAGAATGAAAACAGCATGCAGAAGTGCGCAAGAAAAAGCATCATATAGTTTATCATAATTATTAGTATACATGTTAGCCAGTGGTGGAACACATCTCAGCTATCGTGCCGTAATACAAAAAGGGAAAAATGCAACAGAGGCACGCCGGTTGAGTTATCAGTAACGCATGGACATCGTTAAGGAGGGCTAACAACCGGCTATTGTGCCGAAAAAATGAGTAACATTATACCCAGTAAATGAGACCGTGGTCGGAGGGAGAGCTTAAGCGGGAGGGAGAAGAGCAGAGAAACTCACGACACAAACGTCATTGAGGTTGGCTCCTAGCCAAACGTGTTCATTGTCTTTCGGACCCCAACCAGAGAGTCGAGGAGCTCCAACCGAAGCCAACTTAGAAGTGAGGGCTTTCATTTCCCTAGACTAAGTCGTCGCTTAGCCACCCGCCTCCTCTTCCAACCACATCCTCACGCAAACAACGCACGTCGCGGGAGTCGAGGGGCTGGCATGCGAAACACGTGACCCAGCCATCAGAGCACGGTGAGTGATGTAACGATGCTGGGTGGTTCACTACTTCTTTATGTGCCATAAACAAAGCGCCGAACACGCACAATGCTCACAGATATGAGCCAATAGCGAAGCCACCAGTGGTCGAACGTAACTAGCCTCTTTGTGCCGGCTGATCTAATAGGCGAGATTCCACAACTGTACAGTAGGGTTGAACGGACAGCAGCATTGTAAACTCTGTCCCTCAGGATGAGAGTGATGTCACACCGGCGCCACAGATGGCAGAGATTGGCAAAACACCCCGAGATTTCGCGATACGGTTCGTGACCTCATCCATCTTCGATCCCACGGGCACTAATATCGCTGCCCAGATACTTAAACTTCCGGACGATTTCTAGCTGATTACCACCAGTGACCAGTGAACGTAAACCGAGTGTTTTATTTGTTCCTACGCTGCTACTTGTTAGTTCTTATTTTGCAAGCCTGATAAGTCCGAGGAAGAATCAGTGAAAAATATGTTCGCTTGATAACACTGAGTGTTCAAATGCGTGAAGAGTAAGCTGGGTTCGTCGAAATCGCGGCTGCACCGGCGACATCTTCAGTTTGCGCCAGTTCCTGGAGAACCACCAGTTGGATTAGGGACTCATGTCGGTTATCAACATCAAATGTACCTTCCGTTCGATGGATCGTTCCGTTTGAGACTGTTTGATTAAGATGTGTCCGAGAAATATGTAAAAAAATTTCAGGGCGCTTTGTGAGTGCAGTTCGGACGGAGTGAGGTTTTGCGAAAAACTGGTATCGCCCTCCAAAACCTCCAGCGGTGCGAGAAAAGTATGCTCACCGTCTATCCTTTTTCAACTTCGCCATAGATGGAGTTATAGGAAATGAATTAACCGCACTTGAGTTAAAACGTTTGGAGCTGCTCCCAGGTGAATGACTTCACGACTTAGAGTATGCCGAAGACATTTCTCTTATCTGTGACAACTCACGAAAGTGCCAAGCAGCACTGGACAGACTAGTATCGGCTGTCAATCATTTCTGACTACGTTCTGCACCCTCAACATGTGATGAATAAACTGTGCTTCATAATGACAAAGTGAAGGCGGTTTTCTAGCTCTGCAATATTTCTGTATAATTGACAGTAGCCCCGTGGATTAGTAACGAAGTGCTCAAATATCCGTCTATTTTTGAGATCATGTGGATGAACAATGACGCAGTATTAGGACTTCCCGGGATGGTTTTGACTTCCAGAGTATTAGGAGAACAGCTATTAGACATTCATTTATTGTAAACAAGCTTGATAGCTATTCTTTACTCTTCCGATTTTCTATTTCTTGACTGTTGTTTAAACGCTCTACTGGGTTAGCCCGATTGGTACACCCACGTCATTGTTAATGGACGCTCATCGTCATGTCCTTTTCAACATCGCCATTTGCAAGAACATATTCTATTGGTTTTTTCTTCTCATCACTGTTCTACTTGGTTATGTTAAAGGAATATTTATTTGTCACACAATTATTGTACTAGTTTTCAACTTTTGGGTCTGCATTCCTTATTCTCGTTTGTTTCGTGACTTATGTTTAAACGTTTCATTTCGTCATTCTGATTGGCCAGTGCCTGCCACTGTAAATGGATGTTCGCTTTACGCTTGAAGTCCAATGATGCTATTTTTAAGGACATACGCGATTCGCCCTTGAGTACACGGTTGCTTATTCGCCGTTGCATTCGACGTTCTTCCTTCAATACAATGAACCTTTCCTACAACAATTTCTTGATGCACTGGCCGTCGCAGAGGATAATAAACGGCGCCCTATCTGCTCCATCGAGCAGGGTGGATAGGGGTTTAGATGCTACTGCTCAGGCCTTCCCGTCCTCTTATGCCCCTTCTTCATCCTTATCGTCCCGCTCCAACTTTACTTATATCCTCCCCATTTTCAATCCCCCAATTCTTGGCCCTCCCCCAGCTTACTTCAATAGTCGCTTGTCTTCTAATTTCAAATCATACACAATCGCAGGGCCTCGCTCCAATCCAGTCGACAAGTCCATGTTCAACCAAGCGGACAACGTCAGTTCATCCGTTTCCTTTTGGAGTCCTCGTGTCTCACTAAGATTGGCATGCCTCAACGTGCGCACTTTGCTGCAGATTGGCCAACAGGCAGCACTTGCCCGAACACCAGAGACCCTGTCGATCGATATTTGCTGTTTATCAGAAACCCGCCTGCAAGATTCGAGCTCCGTGCTTACCCTGCGATCCCCCACATGCGACACTGGCGGCACATTCTCATTGCGCCTGTCTGGCGATGATGCAGCTTCAAATGCCGGTCAAGCTGGCGTCGGCATTGTTTTGACTCCCCGGGCTGAAGCTGCCCTGATTGATTGGATCCCAGTAAACAGTAGGATATGCACCGTTAGATTAGCTGATTCGTTCCGTGCTACGAAGTCGCGCGGGGACAAACGGTGCCTGTTTATCATTGCGGCTTACGCCCCTACAAACTGTAGCACTGATTCGGTAAAAGATGATTTCTATCAGCAACTGCACGAGCTCCTTCGTAACAGAAGAAGCACGGATACTGTGGTGTTGGCTGGTGATCTAAACGCCGAAGTCGGAAAATTGTCATCTGGGCGGCCAACATGGTGTGGGCTCCCGTAATGATAATGGTGAGCAACTGCTACAGCTGTGTGAAGATCCTCGCCTCTTTCTCGCGAGCACTAACTTCCGACACAGCACCCGCAGAAGCGTGACTTGGCGGCCACCAGCCTCGGGCCAGCCATGGACGCAAATCGATCATATCGCGATCAGTTACCGCTGGAGAGGCTGTGTCCAAAACTGTCGCTCGATTTGGAGTACGAGCGTGGACTCTGACCACGCACTTGTCTGTGCCGACCTCCTGGTTCGTTTCGGTGGACGTTCGCAACGTCGATGTGAACGGATTGACACCAGCCAGCTGGCGAAGCCAGATGTTCTGAATGTGTACCAAAGTGCGCTGACATCTGGGCTGAGGAAGCGCCCACTAAACACCGTTGAAGATCACTGGTCGCATATTCGTCAAGCGTTGCTGCTAGCAGGCATGTCTTCATGTGGCAAAGCAAATTGCAAAACCGGACATTGGGTCTCTACGCAGTCTCTGGAACTTATGGATGCTCGCCGACGTATTCCGACTGGAAACGAATACAATGAGACTCGCAAAAATTTCAGGACAAAACTACGTGCTAGCTTGAAGAGAGACCGCGAATCCTGGTGGTCTCATCGTGCATCGGAAATGGAAACAGCCGCTGCCGTTGGTAATCATCGTAAGTTATTCCGTCTGATACGGGAAACAGGCAGCAGAAGACCTGGTGTTAGCGAGACCATACGCAACGAGAGTGGGCAGCCGATCCACAGCCTGTCAAAACGCTTGGAGCGTTGGGCTGAACACTTTGCAAGGCAATTTAATCAACCTGAGTTATCGCTTTCTTCTTCGGGCATTGAGCGCCCTTCTCCCTGGGCCGTCTGCTTGGATCCGCCATCACGCGCAGAAGTCGAACGTGAGATCAGGCTGTTGAAATTGCATAAGGCCGCAGGGGCAGATAGAATTCCCCCAGCCCTCTTCAAATTCGGGGGACCTGCTCTAATAGATGATATACACGAGTTGCTAGTAAAACTTTGGGAGCAGGAGACAGTCCCGACAGACTGGAACCGCTCCGTCATTGTCCCAATTTTCAAGGGAGGCTCCCGTTCGGAATGCCGCAATCAGAGAGGAATCAGTCTGATCACAATTACCTCGAAAGTGCTTGCCTCTATCATTCTCCACAGACTGACTGGCACTCGTGAAAGCCAGATTCGTGAAGAGCAAGCCAGATTTCGTCGAGGTCGCGGCTGCATCGACCACATCTTCACCTTGCGTCAAGTGTTGGAGCACCACCATGTTTATTGGCGACCCACCGTTGTCGTGTTTCTTGACATAAAAGGTGCCTTCGACTCAGTCGATCGATGTGCCCTTTGGGACTGTCTGTTGAGGAAAGGTGTGCCTGATAAATAGGTAAACATTATCAAAGCGCTGTACGCGCATAGTTCGGGCAGAGTGAGGGTTTATGGCAAACTGTCGCCACCCTTCAGTATCACCAGCGGTGTGAGACAAGGATGCCCGCTGTCGCCTTTCCTCTTCAACTTCGCTATTGATGAAGTCATGGAAACAGCGTTCGCTGGACACGACCTAGAAGGTGTGGAGCTACTTCCTGGTGAGCGACTTCTTGACTTGGAGTATGCAGACGATATTGCCCTAATCTGTGACAGCTCCCAAACATGCCAAATAGCACTGGACCGATTAGCACTGGCTGTCAATCGTTTTGGGCTATGCTTTGCTCCATCGAAATGCAAAGTACTTCTCCAAGATTGGCAGGGACCCACCTGTGCGCTAACGCTTGGTGGTGATCAGCTAGAAGTCGTTCAGGAATTCAAGTACCTGGGCAGCTATATTAGCACCCGTGGAACCGAAGATGAG